CAACCACTAATGCCAATGATGATGAATTTGAAGAACTAACTCTACCAACTTCTTCCTGGTGTGGCACTGTAGGATAAGCACTGGACTACAAGGTCAGTTTGAAGTGCAAGGTTGGCGGTTCACACTCATCAATCGCTCCTAAGAAACCCTACACAGGATCACTATGAGTCAGAACTAACTCAATGGCACTTCAACAACAACAACAACAAACCAACGTCTTCAGTCTGAAACTGATCAAGCAAGCCAAGATGCATGGATAATTGCTGGTGAATAGAATGTAAAAGCTACAAAGAAGGGTCAATAGCTGGACAATAGTTGGACAATATGGCCTTGGTGATAGAAATGATGCTGGAGATTTCAAGATAAAGACTTTTCAAAACCAATGACATGTATTTCAACTATACTTTTTGAAGAACATAAATGGCGAATACAAACACAGATCTAACCAGATGGAATAAATATCTAAGGGAAGAGATGAAGGAGAAGGTGAATATCAATAGTCAATATAAGGCAGGGCAGATTGTGGAACAGATCATCAATTGTTCATACGTAAATTCAAGCTGAAGCTGAAGAAAACCACAGATCCGCCAGAGTCAAAAATAAGACCTTAAATATATCCCACCTGAATTTAGAGATCATCTCTAGAACAAATTTGATGCATTCAACACTAAAAACTGAAGACCAGAGGAGTTGTGGAATGACATCAAGAGAACCATCCATAAAGGAAACAATTGGTCATTTAAAAGGTAAGAAAAAAAGACCAAAGTGGATGTCAGAAAATTCTCTGAAACTTGCTCTTGAATGCAGAGAAGCTACAGAAACTGGAAGAAATGATGAAATAAAAGAATTGAACAGAAAAGCTCTAGGAATTGATGGCCTGGTAGTGTAGTGGTTTGCACGTCTGGCTAACTGCAAAGTCAGCAGTGTGAATCCATCAGCCACCACACGAGAAAGATGAGGCTTTCTGCTCCAGAAGAGATTTATAGTCTTGGAAAGAGTTGGAAATGACTTGATAACAAACAGCAGTAGCAGGAACTGATGGAATACAATTGAAATATTAAAATAAGCTGATGCAGCACTAGAGGCACTCACTCAACTCTGTCAAGAAATATGGAAGACAGCAACCTGGCCAAATGATTTTAAAAGATACATATTTGTGCTCATTCTAACGGAATATGGGCATCATCATACAATATCATTAATATCACATGCAAGTAAAATTTTGCAGAAGATAATTTAAAAATAGTTGCCGCAACCACTGTGGAAAATGGTATGGCACTTCTTCTAAAAGTTGGAAATAGCAACACCATATGACCCAGCAACCCTTCTGACATGGTATATATCCTCAAGACATATGAGCCATGATACTAATACACACATGCAGGTCCAAGTGCAAAGAAGTAATCACAAAATGATGGAGACAGCCTAAATGCTCATCAACAGAAGAATGGATAAACAAACTTAAGTACATACACACAATGGAATACTACACAATGCTGGAGAATAATGATGAGTCTGCAAAACATCTAATAACATGGATGAAGCTGGAGGATGTTATGCTGAATGAAATCAGTCAATCATAAAAGGACAAATATTTTGAGACCACTATTGTGAAAAGTTAAGAAACTGTTTTCATGCATTAAGAAATATTCTTTGATGGTTTCCATGGGTGAGAGGGAAGGGAGAACAATTCAATGGCTAGAGGGTGTACACATGTTAATTCGGGAAACAGAGAAGGCAATATACAAGAGGGAGGTTGGCAGAAGAGTTACGAAGACAGGAGGACACAGGGTGGAATGCAAGGATTAAGGGGATAGAGGTAAATAGTGTTACATACACAACAGTCCTGCAACAACAGTGTTCTACGGGTATATAAATGGACAGATTCACAGGCTGAAAAGTTAGGGAAGAAGATTGGGAGTATACCCACAAATATTTAAATGTTTAACATAGGATACTTGCATATGGGTACTTACATTTGCTGCAAATACATATATGAATGTGATGCACAGAGGGCAAAATTAAAACTTCTTAGGCATTACCAAATACCTAAGGCAAACAGCTGGTAGGCTTGGAGGCTCAGGACCATAGTCCCTAAAGGTAATGGTCTACTTCCTGTTTTGGTGAGTAGCAACTGTGATATTAAAAGTTCATGAGCTGCCATCTAACATACAACTACAGGTCTCTCCATGTATGGAAAAGAGAAGAGTGATAAAGGAATCAACTAGTCCAACAGACCAATGGAACATGTGAACATCATCAGTCTTTATGAACCTGAGACCAGAAGAACAAGATGGCGCCCAGCTACCATCACCAACTGCACTGAAAGGGATCACAGTACAAGGTGAGAGACAGACTGGGAAAAAGTGTGAAATGAAACTCAAAATTCTGAAAAAGACTGGACTTGCTAGTCAGAAAGAGTCTGAAGTAATCTGAGACTATCTACCTTTCAGGTCTATAATGGAACTTACGTTTAAGTCCCAATTTTTAGCCAAGTGGTAAATAGGTTTATAGAGGGGATAGCAACATTAGTAAGGTATGCTAACCGTGGAATGGTCAACCATTCAAGATCAAAAGGGCAACATTTACCTACAGACAAAATTCAAAAGGATTGGGAAGGAGAGTGGAATGGAAGTAAGAATCACAGGGAGAAGGAAGATAGGATAACTTGTTTCATGGAAGAGAACGCAATAATTGAGATGAAACAAAGTGTATGATCTATTGAAGGTAAAATTGATGATCTGCTCTGTAAACCAGCACTCAATTCACAAAATAAAGATTAAATAATTCTAAAAGTTTTTAATATGCTTTTTAGATTGTAAACCTTACCAATGATTTATTCATTTTTCCTATTCATTCATTATTATTCCAAGAGTTTTAAATACTTTCAATGTACTCTATTTTAGAAAGACTACAAAGTTTTCAAAATATATGTGAATGGGAAAAAATATGCTAAAAAATGCAGCAGCTATACACTAACAGAAAGGTGGATTCAGAAGACATGGAATTAGGAGTATCAATGCTGACATCAGACAATTTGGTTGAAAGCAGAGAATTCCAGAAAGATGTTTGTTGTTATTGTTGTTAAGTGAGGTCAAGTCAGTTTTGACTCACAGCAACCCTGTACAGGGTTTCCGAGGAGCAGCTAATGGGTTTGAACTGACGATTTTGTGGTTCACAATCCAGGGCTGATCCTCTAGGAGTCCAGAAAGATATTTACTTGTGCTTTATTGACTATGAAAAACTTATTCAACTGTATTAGTTATAGCAAATTATGGATAACGCTGTGAAGAATGGGTAGTCCAGAACACTTGGTTGTGCTCACGAGGAACCTGTATACAGACCAAGAGGCAGTCGTTTGAAGAGAACAAGGAGATACTGAATGGTTCAAAATCAGGAAGTGAGTGTGTCAGGCTTGTAATTTTTCACCATACCTATTCAATCTGTATGCTGACCAAATAACCCAAGAAGTTATATTACGTGAAGAATTGTGTGGCATCAGGATTAGAAGACGATTGATTAACAACTGCAAAATGTGATGAAGATCAAGATGGCAGTCTTCAGTGTAAATTGGATCTCAACGTAAAAACACCCACAAAATTCTCACAACTAGCCCAATAAACATCATGGTAAATGGAAAAAAGCATTAAGTTGTCGAAGATTTCCCTTGTCTTGGATCCACAATCAACACTCATGGAGCAGTTAAGAAATTAAATCATGTATTGCATTAGAAGGGAAATCTGCTGTACAAGACCTATTTAAAGTTTTCAAGAGTAAAGATATCAGCTTGAGGACTACGGTGTGTCTGACCAAAACCATGGTATTTTAAATAATCTCATATGCATGTGAAAGCTGGACAATGAATAAAGAAGACAACAGAAGAATCAATGCACGTGACTTATATTTTGAGGAGAATATTCAAAGCACTATGGACTGCCTGCAGAACTGTGTTGTGAAGTGGAACCAGAATACTACTCATAAGAAGTGAAAACAGTGATACTTTGCCTATCATTCTCTGGATATGTTGTCAAGAGGGGCCAGTACCTGGAGAAGAACAGCATGCTTGTAAAGTGGAGGGTCAGTAAAAACAAGAAAAGCCACCTGACCCCCGCAACGAGATGGAATGACAAGATGGCAGCAACAGTTGGGTTCAAACATAACAACAATTGTGAGAAGGGTGCAGCACAAGACAGTGGCTAGTTTTATTGTGCACAGGGTGATTATGAATCAGAATTGAATCAACGGCACCTAACAACCACCACAGAGATAACTTAGTCTTGTCATCTTAAAGTTAAGATTCCTAAAACTATGCCTGCTTTGGCGGGGTGGGGGGTATACTTTAAGGGCTGTTGTGAGGGAAGGTGTTGGAAAGGGAGGGTCTGGTTTTACTCTACCTCAAAAGGATTACTTCTAAGCCTGTGAAACTACTGCTCCGAGAAAATCTTTAAATCTTAAACCAAAAATAAAAAAAAGTAAATGTCACTGAATAGTACATGTAGAGACTGCTGAATTGGTATAGGCTTTGGTTTGTAGTCTCCACAACAACCAATAAAATACATATAAACACAAACACACATCTATGAAAAATTACTTCTACTATTAACTGTTTTATAAAGGGCCCATGGCCAATGTGGTCACTTCTCTATAACAGGACAGTCAGATGTACTATGAGATTTTCAGACTCAATGCAACTTTCCTGACTGGAAATCCTGATCTCTGACTATCATGGCAGACTGGACACTACCGCCCAGGCTGCTGACACAGTTAGAGTGGAGTCTTCCAGAAATTCATGTTGCCACCAGTGTGCAGGAATTTTTCTTAAACTTTAATTACGATGATAAACATACATTTAAAAAATGCCATAGAAAAGGTCAACTTAAAATTAATCTTCCTTCCTAAGAAGAATTTCATAGTATTAAATATCACAACAGCTGTAGCCATTATAAAACAATATAGAGATTACTTCATTCTCTTTTTCAAAAAAAAAGCAAAAATGGTACCTTTTCAAGACCAGGTTTTGAAATTTTCTCAGTTCCACTATTGCTTTCCAGGCAGATTCCTTCATCAACACCATCATCATTGGAGAAGTCATTACTTAGCTGATCACTATGGCAACTGCCTTCATTTTCTGCACCACTGTCTGTACAACTTTCAGTTTGGGGCGATTTCTTTAAAACAGCAAAAACAACATTATCTTCAACTTATAAGACCAATAAAGATAAAGTAAGTTCAAAATGTTCTGATTACTGACATTTTCATATAGTTTTAGAAGTTCTTAGCTGTAAGATTTATTTTAAATCAATTTATATTTTCCATTAAAAATGAGATCTTGGTATTTTACGGTATTTCTATAGATCCTTAAAATTTGAATACAAGTAGTGATGTGGACTTCTATTAAACACCAATCATTTATTTTTTGTTTTTTAAATGTTTAATTATGAATTATGGGATAATTTACATGGGAGAACATTAGTTTTACATTCATTCTATTGTATATCATTTCACTGCTTTGGTTACAATCCCTTCCATGCATCATCAACAAACCAAAGGGTATATTCTACAAGCCTGCCCACCCACCCCCCAGTTGTTAGCAAACAGCCCCTCTCTCTCTCTCTGGGTCTAGAGTCCCCAGCTGCTCCATCTCTCAACGTCATCATCTCTGCCTTCATCTCAGGCATCACTGCTTCTCTGCGTAGGGTCCCGCTCTCCGCTCTTCTCCCTTGATGGTCCCAGAGACCTCCGCTCCTAGATTGCAAAGTTAATCACTCCCCTCCTTTTGCTATAAAACGTCTATCTTTACATTTACAACCCTCACAATCAGTCCTGATAACAATTATTCACTATTGTATCACAAGAGACCTAACCACATTTCCTTTCATCAGCCCCTCCTAGACAGATTGGATACTACTCAGTGGAGATTCTACCTTCCTCCACGTACTCTGGATCTAGGTTGCCTCTTGAAAGCTTGTAAGCCAGTCACTTCTTGCCTTTGTAGCTCCCCCATTTTGGGTAGCCAATGTTCAAGTTGCCCATCCCTGTCTACTCTGTATATGGAGGGGGTGGGAATGATCCTTGCTGTAAAGATTTATTTCCTCTTTTGAGATACTGCATCCATAGGTGTAGGTCAAGTCCATCAAACTGTATCAGAGTACTCTTTTTTTTTTCCCTCTTCTTTCTTCTTCTAGTTGAGCTCTGATCATCCAGTCATTGAAGCCAGGTCAAGTGGGTATTATCTCTGCAAGTGTGGGTGTTCTTATACACACACCCTCTCTTATCAGCTGGACGCTTCACTCTCCACTCCAGTCCTCTGTGTCTATGTCACTGACTCTGGGCCCAAGAGTCCCCAAGTCTTGCCACACTGCTGGCCAACCAGGTCTCCATCCACCCAGGTTCACAGGAGTCTATTGAACATTGTAGGGCTTAGCTCACAGCCTCATTGCTATTTTTCTCTCACTTCCCCTTATTGGTGATGAACGTGGTCACCAATCAGAGAGTGTATTCCCAATGAGTCTTAGTCTTGGAAAGGGGTTTACTGTGAGCGGACCCAACCACTTGCCTTGATGTCTCCTGGATGAGCAACTTGCTTGTTCTTGTAGTAATCAGTCAGTCTGCCTATACGGTTTTGTATTTTTCCTATCGGTCTTTCTTTTAAGAAGTATCTTCTGTTTTTCTAGTCGCTCCAGGCTGGTCTGCCCATCCTTTCAAGAGGAAATTTCTCACCTCAGAAGATTCTGGATGCTGTTCAGGATTCCACCTATAAAATCTTGTGTAATGCAGAGGCTTCACAGGAAGCCTCCTTCACTGAGTACCTTTGTAGCCCCATTTTAGGTAATCCAATCAGATATAGGTAAAAGATGGACTTACAAAGTTTCTATGGTGATATTTATGACTATTCCTTTCTCTCCCCTTCCAGTGTCTATTTTATAATGTAATGCAAGGAAAACCAAGATTCAAAAGACAGCCAAGCATCTTAACATTATTTTCCCCCTTTCCCCATTCCAACCATGTCTCAATCCCTGTATCCCAGAGCCCTGTTGTTCCAAGGTTGTGCATACATCATTTACCTTCGTCCCACTTAGGCCAGGCAAACCTGCCTAATTTTTCTTCTGCTTTGTTCTTCCATTCCCCTCTCCCTTCTTGTATACTGCTCCCCTCTCCAACACCCAAACTATCCTGTGTCTATTTCCTGCCCTGTGCTCCACTTTCCCATCACTCCCCTCACCCACCCCCACATCCCAGCAACCAGCAAAGAATTCCCCCCCTTTAGTATGGGTTCTTTTTCTTAGACTTTTATAGTAGTAAACCCCAACTATTTTTATAATTATAAAATAAAAATATAATATCTCTCTCAAAACAGTCCATAAAAGCAGAAAACCCAAGGCCCCAAATGAACTTCTGTTGTCCTCAAATTCCAAAAGAATATTATCTATTTTCTTGAACAAACAAGTTCAAGCCGTATGATAGGTATTACATAACTGGAGAAAAAAAAAATAAGACCTTGTATATAGTCTCAGGAATGTTATACTCAAAGCACTTTGACACAAATTTAATTTGGATAATTCCATTTCATACATAGCACAAACACCACCACCCTCCACCCTGCTCTTTTAACATTGTATGAGATGGCTTCAAATAGTTTGTGGAAAAACGTCATTATTTTTTAATTCCTTTATTCTACCAATGATAGTTTGAGAATGCTTCTCTAGGATGCAGGGTAACCCAATACGTACGAATCAATGATTAAAAGTACTTAAATCAACAAAAAAATATATAATAAATGTCAACTTTTTGACAAGAACCATCCCCATTTTACAGAATTTATCTAACATATAGTCCTCATTCTCAAGAAAGTTCTATTCAAGGAAAAAATAGAGGTGAAACCAACTTTAGATCTCTACACAAACTCAAAAAGATAATTCCTCAAAATTATTTCAACAAAGCCAGAATATCTTTGTCTTTTCCTAAGTACAGAACCTATTGCTGTTGTTAGGTGCCAATGAGTTGGTACCAACTCACAGCAACCCTATGCATAACAGAACGAAACACAGTCCGGTCCTGTGCCAACCTCATAATGGTTCCTATAAGGGAGCCAATGGTGTCTGCCACTGTGCCTATCATATTGGTGGGCTTTCTTTTTTCACTGACCCTACTTTACAAAGCATGATGTCCATCTCCAGGGACTTATTCTTCTACATAATTGTCCAAAGTATGAGATGCAAGTCTTGGCTTCCTGACTTTTAAGGGGTATTCTGTCTGTACTTCTTCCTTAGAGTCTTCCTCTTTTTTTTCAACCCTCTGCTTTAGCAATCATGATATCCTTCTTCAAGAACTAGTCCCACCTGATGATATATCTGAAGTATGAGAGACAACGTCTGGCCATCCTGGCTTCCAGGGAACATTCTAGTTGTACTTCATTGGTGTGCATTCCTTCCCATTTCTTTTGATGCTTTCTGCATCTTTCAATATTTTGCCCATTGTTGTTGTTGCTGTTATGTGTCATGGAGTCAGTTCCGACTCATAGCGACCCTGTACAGGGTTTCCAAGTCTGTAAATCTTTATGGGAGCAGAAAGCTCATCTTTCTCCCACGGAACAGCTGGTAGTTTCAAACTGCTAACCGTGACGTTAGCAGCCCGATTCATAACCACTACGCTACCAGAGCCTTCAATACAGTAAGTTGAGGTTTGAATTTTTTCTTCAGTTCCCTCAGGTTTACAGCTGAGTGTGTTTTTCCTTTTTGGTTTTCTAACTCCAGGGTTCGCACATTTTTAAAATAATAATTGACTCTGTCTTCTTGACCTTCTTGACCTTTGAAATTTTCTCTTCAGCTCTTGTATCTTCACTTCTTCCATTTGCTTTACCATCTCTAAGCTGGACAGCAAGATTCAAAATTTCTTCTGACATCCATTTTGGTCTTTTTCATTCGTTCTTGTCTTTTTAATGATCTTTTGCTGTCTTCCTATATGATGTTCTTGATTTCATCCCACAACTCTTCTGGTCTTCAGTGTTTAATGTCTACTGCATCAAATCTGTTCTTTCGATGATCTTTAAATTCAGGTAGTATATATTTAAGGTCATATTTTGGCTCATGGGGACTTGTTTTAATTTTCTTCAGCCTGAACTTGCATATGAACAACTATGATGTGTTCCACAGTGTGCCCCTGGCCCTGTTTTGGCTGACAACATGGAACTTTTTCATGGTCTTTTTCCACACATGTAGTCAATTTGATTTTTGTGTATTCCAATTGGTGAGGTCCATGTGTATATGTCTTTTATGTTGTTCAAAAAGAGGATTCACAATGAAGAAATTATTTGTCTTGCAAAATTCTATCTTGTGATCTCCAACACAGTTTCTATCACCAAGGCCACCACATTTTGCAACTAATTATCACTTCCACTTTGTTTCCAACCTTTGCATTCCAATCGCCAATAATTAACAATACATCTTGACTGCATGGTTGATCAATTTCAGACTGAAGAAGTTGGTAAAATTCTTCAATTTCATCAACACTGGCTTTATTTAGTGTGTGGTGTGCAATATTAGAAAACCAATATTAGTGTGTGGTGTGCAAATCTGAATAATGTGTTATTAGCTGGCCTTCCTTGTATGGATATTATCCTATCATAGACAGTGTTGTACTTCAGGACAGATCTTAATATGTTCTTTTTGATGATGAATGCAACACCATTCCTTTTTGTCATTTCTGGCACAGTAAACCATGTGACTGTCAGATTCAAAATGGACAATACCAGTCCATTTCAGCTCACCAACACTTAGGATATGGCTATTTCATTTTTTGGCTATTTCATTTTTGACAATTTTCAATTTAACAAGATTCATACTTCGTACATTCCATACCACGATTATTAATGGATGTTTACAGCTGTTTCTCTTCATTTTGAGTTGTTCCCCATCAGCAAATGAAGATCTCAAGGGCTTTACTCCATTCATGTCACCATGGTCAACTCTACTTTAAGGTGACAGCTCTTCCCCAATCATATTTTGATTGTCTTCGAACTTGAGGGGCTCATCACCTGGCACTATAGCTGGCAATATTCTGGTGCTCTTCATCATGTTTCAATAGTCAATACTGTGGTGTTATCTGACAGTGTTCCGCTGCTATTCATAAGGTTTCCAGTGACTATATATTCGGAAGTAGTCCGTCTCTC